CTGCCTCGCTGGGCAGTTCCCATCTGTTTTCTCTTGTCCCTGGTTCCCCTGGGAGGTGGGATCTGGCTGGGGTAAGGTCAGGCGTGGGCAGATCCTGCTGTCCACTGCCCCAGTGCAAAGCCAGGCACTCCTGGTGATGGCAGAATTATTTCCCATGTGATGGAAATGAATGTTTTAATTTGTGAGTGCCTGGACCACAAAGCAACTGGGAGCAGGGGCAGTGAGGTCCTGGTGCCTCATCCAGCAAAGGTCTCCTCTCATCCTCTTCCTCCTCTTCTTCCTCCTCACAGCCACCACCAAGGCATTTGCCAGTGGTTTGGCTTTCTTCCAGTTTCCCCAGCAGAAACCCTTCTTCTTCCCTTCCCAGCAATTCCCCACATCAGCAGGAGGAGACACAGCCTGGCAGAGGCAGATGTTCCCCGGGCTGCCTGCATTAAAGTGATAATCAAATGATAGATTATTTTCAAGCAAACTCTCATTTTCAGGCATTAATTTTAGTGCTGTGCAGAGAGAGGCAGTGAAAAGAGCACCCAGGCAGTGGAGGATGGGTGGGATCTGGATGTGCTCCAGGGAAAGCTGATGCACCACAGCCCATCTGTATCTGGAGCCATCCTGCAAAGCCATGAAGAAATAGCTCCATCCTTTGGCTCCTGCATCCTCCTTCCTTCGTATCCTCACCAAGGCTGCCTCTGGGTCAAATGCAACAAATATTCCCAAACCAACAGCAGGTGAGTCAAAGCAAGACCTGCAGAAGCTGTGCACATCAGGAATGTCCACATTCCCTCCTGAGAGACCTGGACAGCAGGAGAAGAGAGGAGCTGCATGGCCTGGACTGATCCAGGAGTGATGGCAAAGGTTTAAGGGCTTTGAAAGTCAGTGTTTTTCCTAAAACCTGTGACTCTTTCACCCTGGAGCACTCTGGAAAAGGAGGAGCAGTTGTGTCACACAGCAGGGCTGGGGCTCCCGGGCTCTGTCAGGGCTCAGTGCCCGAGCTGGGGCTGCTTCATTTCCATGTCACACCCTGAGTGTGACACAGAGGGACCCTTTGTGGGCACAGCCACCCTGCTGAGCCCAGCTGGCAGCTCCTGCCTGCCACAGGCAGCTCAGTTCCAGCTGCAGCCTGAGGCCCCTGCCCTGCTTTCCCCCCACTGAAGGGCAGGGGAAGTCGGGGTTCATTTCAGTTTTCTCTTGGAAGCTGCCCTGCAGCAGCGAGGGCTGCTGGCAGAAGGAATTCCTTACTTGGTTTGGGATCAGGAGATGCTCATGGACAGCCTTGCCCAGCATGAACCACCTGTGGGAAGCCCAGCTCTGGGATCTCTGCACTCCTGGAATCTGCCTGGAATTCCTCCTGCCTTCCCTGAGCTCCTCAGGGAGCACTCCCTGCTCAGCAGGACCTCGGGAAATGCTGCTGCTTTCTTATTGCTGCAGTGGGATTGTCACAATAATTCAGTTTTCTTTTTCTTCCTCAAATTATTCCATGGGAAAACCAGGAATCAGGGTGATTCTGGGGGAATTTAGGGCACCTCCAGGAACTGGAGCTCAGGCCAGGTCTCCAGATCCTCAGGAGGAGGCCAAATGCTGTAATTAAGGAGAGCTAATTTCTTTTTCCACTTCTAAGCTGCAGAATGGCTCGCCCCAGGTAAGCAGCAGGTTATCTCTTTTCTAGGAAATCTCACTCTGGTTTTTTTGTTCCTCAGTCTAAAAATGGAATGCAGACCCTGAAAATAAATTCCCAGAGAACACCACTGTGCAAACATCCCAGGCTTTGATTCAAAGTGTTTGGATTAATTAGCTTAAACTGAAAGCTTTCATTCTGATTTCAGCCTCGGCTTTATGGACAAAAAATTAAAGCAGCAAAGCTTTGGAAGTAGAAAAATCAAAATGTTCCAGCCTGGAAATATCAAAACAAGATGCTGAGCCTCGCTGAGCTGCTTTGTTGCTTTCTAAAAGCAAATGGCATCGAGACCAACACCTTTACAAGAAGCTTGGATCATTAAGCACTTCAAAAAAAAAAAAAAAAAAGCCCTAGTTCAGCATAAGCAATTAATTTCTTAATTAGATTTTCTCTTTTTCTTCCAGAGGGAAGTCTAAAAATATTGATTTTTTCCATTTTATCCAAAGATTTCTTTAAATATGATTCCCTCACTGGATGGTTAAGCTGGAGCTTGAGCTGTGGGAATTACATGGGGTGGTTCATTTAAATTCACTTTGTCATCTTTCCTTCTCCTTGTCCTGTTTATTTCTGTTCCAGTGGCAAAACAACACCAGGGTAAAAGCAGAGGATAACACAGAAAAGAGAGACTGAAAGGGAAATTGAACATGAAATATTTTGGAAGTCTCATTTTCTAGAGGTGAAAGACATTTCCTTTGGAAGCCTCTTGGAGGAGAGCAGCTTTGATGTTTGGAGCAGTTTTCCCTGCTGATTTTCAGTCAGCTCCATCCAAAGCAGCACCTGGATGAACCTTGGCTGGACATTCCCATCAGGATTTGCCACAGCATTACCTGACCTGGGGTGTCTTTAACTCAGGAACCATAAAATCCCTGCAGGAATTGCATGTGGCCTCGCTGACCACTGAGTCACACCAGCTGGGAGCTCCCAAAATCCCTGGAGAAGGGCTCCAGAGGGTTATTTTTGCTGGAGATGTCCTCCAGACCTGGCTCTTGTGTCCCTGCTGCTGCTCAGGGTGCTGCTCCCCTGTGTTGGGGCTTTGCCTCGTTTTTCCTGGCGATCCCAATTCTGCCCAATTTTGCCAGCCTGTGGAGCTGCTGGTGCTGGGGGCTGGGGACAGCAGGGCTGGGGCCAGCCGGGCTGCAATCGCGTTTTCCCGAGGCTGGGATGCCGTGGAGCGGTTCCTGCTGCCATCTAATGGCTCTGACAATTAACACCCGGCAGGGAGGGCCCGGCTGCAGCCAGCACTGGTGAGTTCCTGAGCTCTCCCGGGGGCTGCAGGAGGCCACACCGAGCCCCAAGCACTGCTCGATGTCCCTGAGGGGACACTGGGCACGGGGGGAAGGGCAGGGACAGGCATTCCTATTGCAAAGTTCAGGACAAGCTCCTTAGGGATGATGGGATGGTGCTTCGGGTGCCAGCAGCTCTGCCCTTCCTGGGGCAGGGTGAATGCCCCTCGCACCCTGAAATGCAGGGATATGGGAATATCCTGAGCTGGAAGGACCCACAGGATCAGCAGTGCAACTCCTCACCCCAAAATCCCACCCTGGGATCCCTGTGTGCTGTCCAAACCCTCCCAGAGCTCTGGCAGCCTCAGGGCTGTGCCCACCCCTGGGGAGCCTGGGCAGTGCCAGCACCCTGCCTCTGGTCCTCCCTTCCTCCTTCCCATGCCTCATCCATGCTCTCACTGCCCTGGTTCTCTGTGGGGACAGTCTGGAGGCTGCCCTGGCTGGTGGCAGTGATGGTGACAGGCAGGAGTAGGGAGGGTTCCTGGGATTCACACCCCAGTGCCAGGGAGGAGACCTCAAACCACAGCTCCTGGTGTGGCAAAGGCTCCAGACCCACACGGATCCATCCAGCACACACACACACACAGAGCCAGTTTTCCCATTTTCCAGTTTTCCAGTTTTGCAGTTTTCCAGGAGGGTTCATTTCCTCCCCTGGCTGAAAACAATGCAAGAGGAGCAGGACTCAGCATTTCTGAACTCGAAGCGCTGAGTTCAGCTCAGTTCAGCCCCAGAGCCCTCTTAACCCTTTAGCTGTGGGATGGAGCAGAATTCCCAGGGCAGCAGCAGCAGCTCTGGATTGCCTTGTGTTGAGAGAAGTCGGAAAGGGCTTGGTGGTGGAAGAAACTTCCTGAGGAGGAATTTTCTCTCCATCAATGAGGAGAAAGGTCTGAAAGCCAGGCCAGTCTGGCTGCACTCAGGGACTGGCCACACCAGTTTGGCAGTGAAAGCCTTGAGATTTCCGTGTGTCCTCAGCCACGCATGACCCCCTCCTTCCCCAGTGCCCCAGCTGCTAAAAAACCTGGGAAAATGTTGTGCCAGCTGCTAAAAAACCTGGGAAAATGTTGTCCCAAGGCCACCCAGCCTTGGGGATGGAGGTACATGAGGCAGGTTCTCCAGGTGAGCAGCCTGAGGCGTCCTGGATTCTTGGAAAACCTGGATTGGGCAGGTACTTATCGCTGCTCTGTGCCCATTTGCGCAGGGTGACAGCAAAAGCAGAGCTCTGGAATGAGGAAATGTCCCCGAGGAATTGTCCCCTGTGCTCCTGCCAGCTCCCAGCCCTCCTCCACCGGGATTCCAGAGGCAGGGAAGGAAAGCTCTGCTCCATCTCACACCAAAGTGGGTGCCCCCACCCGTAACAGAGGATCAAACCATGAACCAAGAGTTTCTTTGGCCTCAAACAAAACCTTTCATCTTTTTTTGTTTGCTTTTTCCTCCAGCGAAGCCGGGTCTGGGCTGACTTCCTCTGCTTTCAGGTTCGGTGTGAAATAAGAAGCTGAAAAGCCACGAGGCTTCGTTTTTGAACCTGCCAAGGAATGGCCGACTTCAGGAGGAGCAGAAACGTCGGGAAAGCTCGGTGTTAACCATTTCATCGTTTCCAAGAGGAAAAAACCTCCCTGTGATTCCCTCTGCCGCGGACTTTAGCACAAATACTGCTGGGTCCACAGATCTCTTGTTCTGTGCGCCTGTATTTGCGTTTTGCCAGGGAAGAAGGGGGGTCGGAGCTGGGATTCCCGAGGGAATGCCTCTCCCGGGATTCTGCTGCCCCAAGGACTGCCAGCAGGACACAGGTGAGGCCGGGAGAGGCTGCTCCTGCCAGGAACGGGCTCACGGTGCCCATGAGAGCCTCCCTGGAACTGATTCCTGCCGAAGGAGGCGCCTGGGAATTCCGGGAGCCGGCGGTGCCGCGTTTCTAGCCCAGCCCTGGGTAACTCATTGACCTCTGCTGGGAAGCGGAGGTTCCCAGGATGATAAGGAACTCTTGGAAGGAATTCCTTCCCTCGTGTGAGGGAGTGGCAGCGCTGGGCACGCTCGCAAACACGTCCGCAGCCCCGGCAGCTCCATCCCGGCGGCGCAGCGCTCCCGCGGGGCTCGCAGAGGCTGGAATTGCGTGCGGGAGCTCTCCGGGAGGGAAGCGGAGCTGGCAGCAGGTCAGTAGAGCCGCTCTGTGTCCCCGGGGCTGTCCCCTGCCCTTTGTCCCAGCCGTGCAAAGCCAGCCGGGTGGCTGGAGCGATCCAGCGCCTCTGGAATTCCAGGCTGGGGTGCGGAGTGCGGGGCTTTGGCGCTGCCTGGGTCAGGGGCTCGGGGATGGAGGGACAGGAGGGCTTGGGTGCTTTGGGAACTGACGGGAGAAATGGGCTTGGGAAAGGGAGTTTGGGGACGGGGTGCCAGCCCCGCAGAGCTGCGGGGTGTGTGGCAGCTCTGTCCCCGAGCCGAGGGTCCCTGCACAGCCCCTCTCACCCCGTTCTGTGCCCAGGGCAGGGCAGCGTGGCTGGCACGGGGATTGCAGAGGGAGCAGAGCTCCTGGAGAGCGGGCACAGGCAGAGAACCCCCTCTGGAACAGGCTGATATCCCAGGAGATAGTCCAAACTTATCCCTGGCTTTTCCAGGGAGGCCAGGCTGTGGCAGCAGCAGCAGCAACGGGGGTTCTCCAGGGGAGAGCCAGGATTTGTTGGGAAGCAGAAGGGTAGGAAGTGGAGTGAGAGGTTTTCAGCTTGCTGGCCAAAAGGCAAATTCCAGGTCAGGTCAAACAGGAGGTGACACCTTTGCTTGTACAGGGATGGGTTTCGTTGCTAAGTTGTCAAGGTAGACTTAAAAACAAAAAGACATTTTACAACCACAAAGGAAGACATTTGTGTTTAAAAAAATTTTAAAACGCCATTTTGTTGATTAAAAACAAAATAAAATTCCCCCGTGTAGAAGAAATTGATGCTAATTGATGAGCAGGAGCTGCTGAAACCAAGAATCTTCTGAGGAAAGCAAAAAGCTTTGTTTAAAAGCACTGCCCTGCTCGAGCTCTGAGCACTTTGGACAGCATGGGCCCGAAGCAGCAACACCTCTTGTGTAAAGCTGTGCATGATTCCATCACAAAATTCCATCTGAGCACAGGCAGGCTGCATTCCCCCTCTGACTCCCGCACCTTCAGAGCAGCCCTGGCTCAGCTGGGGGAGGTTTTTAGCTGTGCAGCTTCCCAGGGTTGGTGAACAGGGACCGGGCTCTGCCTTTGCTGCAGGGGGAGCAGCGCTGGCCTGGCCCAGCACTGCCCTTCCTGCAGCCCTGGGTGCAAAGCCCTGGGGCTCGGCAGGAGGATGGAGGGGATGCTCCCTTCTCCAGGCACTCCTGGCATTTGGGGATCTGGATTAGGAATCCCCAGTCCTGCAGCTGCTCTGAGAGTGTGCCCTGAGCTGCTCTCAGTGCAGCCCTCCCTGCAGAGGTTTGGTCTGGCTTCTCTTTCTTGTGGAAGTTGCCAGCCAGCCCCATGCCAGGTGGGTTCCATCCTGCCATTCCCACAGCTGGATACTCCTCAGGCTTTGCTTTAGGGGCACTGCAGCTGTGCCAGGCATGGGAATCTGTCTGGTGAGAAATTCCCTCTCTGGGTCATGGAATCATAGACATTACCAGGTCTGGGTTAAAAAGGACTTTAAAATTTACCTCTGTTCATGGGCAGGAACACCTTCCACTGCACCAGTGTGCTCAGAGTCTCATCCAGCTGGCCTAAATCACTCCCTGGATTAATTATTCCCTGCTCTGGAGAAGTCAAAGGCACTGCCATGGCTTGGGATGCAGCCTGGGAGAGCCAGTAATGCTCCTGGAGCAACCCCAGCACACAAATCCCTGCAGTGGTGGCACTGCCTGGTTGCTGGAGTAAAAACCCACCCCTGAAACCCCTCCCAGCCTGCAAGTTCTCTCCCTAAACCCTTGTGGGTTTTATTTTGCAGGGGCTGTGCTGCTGTTGCCCAGAGATGTTCTGCAGACCCCCCACAGCACAGTGAGCCCTGCCAGCCACCCCAAATCCCGACCCTGAGAGCTGGGGAAGCTCTGAGCATGTGAGTGAGGAGGGAATGAGGCTCACCCTCATCCTGGGATGCCCAAGGGATCCTGCAGGGCAGCCAACCCCTTCCTGCTGCTGTTGGACCTGGGGTTTGGGCAGCGCAGCCCCCGGGGTGCCCGCAGGGCCTGGGCTGCAGAGCTCACCTGGATTTAGTGGCAGAGATGCCCGTGGTGCTGCCAGCTGCCCCCACGGTGACACGGGAGAAGCACCGGGCAGGAAGGAGGTGCAGGATCCCAGCCAGCCCCGGGTGGAGGACGCTGGATGTGCCCCAGCTGGACATCCCCGCAGGTGAGGGAGCAGCTCTGCCTCTGGAACTGGGTGAGATCAGCTTGGAGGGAGCAGCTGGGAGCTCTGGGGCAGGCTTGGCAGAGCGAGGGATCCCGAGGAGGAATGCCAGGAATGTGCCATGTGGGATGGGCACTGCCCTCCTGGAGGCAGAGTGCAAAAAAGGAGGCTCAGGAGGGACCTTGTGGCTCTGCACAGCTCCTGACAGGAGGGGACAGCCGGGGGGATCAGGCTCTGCTCCAGGGAACAGGGACAGGAGCAGAGAAAATGATCCCAAATTGCACCAGGGAGGGTTTGGGTGGGATATCAGGGAAAATTTCTCCATGGAAAGGCTTGGCAAGCACTGGCACTGCCCATCCAGGACGTGGTGGAGTCCCCATTTATAAAACACAGATGTGGCACTTAGAGACACAGTTTAGTGCTGGCCTTGGCAGCATTGGGTGTGTGGCCAGACCTGATGCCCTTAAAGGCCTTTCCAAACCCAACTGCTGCAGTGGCTCCATCCCCAGCCCTCCCCTGAGCCCGTGCCCGCCGCCCCCGCCGTGGCAGTGCCCGCTCAAAGGGGACATTGTGCATTGTGGCCGTGCCCAGCCGCGGTGCCGGGCGGGCAGCGAGCAGCCCTGCCCCTGCCAGCCCTCTGCCAGCCCTCTGCCAGCAGCTCCCAGGTGTCACTGCACACATGGGCTGCTGCCTGGGGACCCCCTGGCACCAGGACCTGGCACTGGGATGCACAGGTAAGGTGCCCGTGGGGCTGCAGAGCTCCTCCCGTGGGATGGGACCCTTGGGGACACCCTGGCACTGAGCACTGGCCCCTCTGGCCACTTTTCTTTCCTCTGGGATGGCTCCTGGTGCTCTCTCCTCTTGGATTGGGGTGTGTAGGGAGTGAGGCAGGACGTTTTTGCCAGGGAGGGGACAGGATGACTCGGGGGTTGGTTTATTCCCATGCTGTTGGCGTTTCCCCTCCCTGCCCAGGAGCCCTCCAAGCACAGCCCCTGGGCTGCTGGCATCCCCCAAGGCACCATTCCCATTCCAGTGTGTCCCAGTGAGCTGGAGGAGGGACATGGCTCAGGGCCAGCCACTGTGGCCACGTGTGGCCCAGCAGAGCCAGGGCCAGGAGGTGCCCTGAGCACCCAGCCCTGGAGCCAGGAGTGCAGCCCTGAGTGCTGGGACCTGCACCTGGCTGGGGCTGGAGCTGTTTCCTTCCCACTGGTACAAAATATTTTGGCACTGAGGAGGTCAGTGAGTCACTGGCACGGCTGGGAACAGCTCCCCAGCTGCAGTTTCAATTGGTCTCTTGAAAAAAAAAAAAAAGCTCCCAGTTCCCTTTCTGAGCCTGGCTCAAATGAAAATAAACACTGAGAGCAACCAGAGTGAGCCCTAGCTCCGGAGACCCATGGACAGGCTCTGTCCTGCTGCTGGCAGAGGTGGCACGAGCAGCGTCCCACCTGCCACATCCCAGGGACACCTCTCAGGCTGGGAGAATCCTGCCAGGGATCTGGATGCCTCTGCCCCACCTCTGTGTTCCCCAGATGAGGAGTGTGAGTCCTGCTGGCCCCGCTCCCCCGAGCTCCTGCCCCCCGGGGACCGCCTGCACCGCCGGGGACAATGGTGGAGGGACACGAGCACGGCATCAGGGACACGTCCCCAGGACATGGCATCAGGTACCCATCCACAGGGAATGGCACCAGGGACACGTCCCCAGGACATGGCACCAGGGACACGTTCCCAGGGCATGGCATCAGGTACCTACCCACGGGGAATGGCATCAGGGACATGTCCTCAGGGAATGGCACCAGGTACCCATCCACAGGGAATGGCACCAGGGACATGTCCCCAGGACATGGCATCAGGTACCCACCCCCAGGGAATGGCACCAGGGACACATCCCCAGGGCATGGCACGAGGGACACATCCCCATCCCCATCCCCAGGGAATGGCATCAGATGCCCAACCCTATCCCCATCCCCAGGGCATGGCACAGGGACACAGCCCCAGGGAATGGCACTAGGGACCCATCCCCATCCCCAGAGAATGGTATCAGGGACACATCTTCAGGGCATGGCATCAGGTACCCATCTCCATCCCCAAGGCACGGCACAGGGACACATCCCCATCCCCATCCCCAGGGAATGGCATCAGATGCCCAACCCTATCCCCATCCCCAGGGCATGGCACAGGGACACAGCCCCAGGGAATGGCACCAGGGACACATCCCCATCCCCATCCCCAGGGCATGGCACTGGGTACCCACCCCCAGGCCCTGCCAGGCTCTGCTGGGCACAGGGAGGGGAGGAGGGCAGCGATGAGTGGAGCAATGGCCAGAGCCAGCTCAGATTTAGTTCTGCCTCCTTTCACTTCCCCTTCTCCATTTCCTCATGTGGAGGGAATGAAGCTGCCACGTGAAATGTTAAGACTTTGTTCAATGTAGACCCTTTTCTTTCAAAGCAAAACTTATTCATGGCCTGTCCAGCCTTGGGCTGTTCTTTTCTACTTGCTAGCTCTGCATGAGGATTCTATTTCTCTAAATAAGAATTCTATTTCTGCATGCAAATACCAATTTATTTGACTGACTGGCAAAGCTGGCTCAGTAAAAAGAGCTGTAGAACAGAGTTCTGGTCAAAGAAGTGACTTTAAAAAGCTTCTGCACATTCCAGCTCCACATCCCCAGGTACATGTTTATCTTAGAGATCCTGTCTGATTACTGACAAAAATTGGGGTTTAATCTGGTTATCCCTCCACTGCCAGTGCAGCTGTGGAAGAGCAGGGCTGGAGTTGTGTGTGCCTCAGCTTTCATTAACATAATTAGCAGCTCAGGTTGCAGGCCCTGAATCCTTTATGGCAATAGCTCATGGTGTGTGGAGCAGGGAGAATGCTGCTTGGATTTTGGATACCCAGCAGAGCAGGCAGGGGAGAAAATCTCATTTTGATTTTCAAATTTTTTGAACAAAGAGTTTTGCAAGGCCTTGGCTCTCCTGTGCTGGGGAGTTGAGGCCTCCTCCAAAAAAAAAAAAATCTGCTGAGCATTCATCCTTTTAACAAATCTGTTCATCTGAGGGTCTGCCAGGAGAAAGGAAGGAAATCCCCTCACTCCAGAGCCACTCCAGCACTGGAAAAAAAGCCCAACATCAGGAGAATGATGGAGTTAGACCCCATCAATCCCATGGATCTCTCCAATGAGCACAACTTCAGGGTGGTTCCAGAGTCACACAGTCCCCAGCCATGCAGGGCTGTGCTCCCAGGAGCTCTCAGCTGAGGCAGGACATCCAAGAGCTCTGCTCAGCATTTCCCAGCAGCTCTGCTCTTCCCCTCCTCTCCAGGTAAGGCTGGGCTGGCAGAGCAGAGCAGCCCCTCTCCCGAGGCAGGACACGGCTCCCCAGAGCCCTCGGTGGTGCTGCTGGCTCCCAAGGACAGCTTTCCCCCAGGTAAGGAGCTCCTGGAGCATCCCACAGATTTCCTGGCTCCCCGCAGTGCCTCGGGTCTCACCTCGCTGCCTGAAGGATGAGGACGGGCTGGGCTTGTGTTGTGTGAGCATCACAGCCAGGCTGGAGGCCTGGTGGCCCTGGCAGGATGGCAGGGGTGGCTCTGGGTGGCACAGAGCTCTTCCTCCCCTTTCATCCTGCTCTTTTCCCTTCCAAGAGCTCTCGCTCTCCTTCTCCGTGGAGAGCCGCTCCTGCCGCTGCCGCAATGCCCAGCTCCAGGAGGCTGCCAGGAAGAAGCTGTGGGCTCTGGAGAGCGATGACAGAGGTGTCTGTGCCCTGTTCAAGGTACAAACCCCGAGCTGGCATGCTGCCATGCTCCTGGAATGGTGGGAGGTGTGCTGGGGTACCAAACCCAGCTGAGGAGTTCCTCCAAGGCCACTGCAGGGGACTCTGGAGGGGACTGGAATGATGGGGAAGATGAACTGATGGCAGGTGAGAGGCAAAGCTGAGCCTTGTGTTGTTTTGGGGGATCTGAGCCTAAACAGCCGGGAATTCCCAGAGCTGGGATCACCAAATCCATGTCCCTGCTGGAGGGGACAGCTCTGGAGAGGCACAGAGTTCTCAGGATGGGTTTTATACAAACAAATCCCAGCTACAGAGAGGATGCCTGGACTGAACTCTCCTTCCCTGCTGGATTTCAAGGCTCCAGGAGTGTCCCTTGATGCTGCTTTGTGTCCCCTGTGCAGGAGCTGTCAGCCAGGCTGGTCTGCACGCAGGCACACGAGGATCGCTTCCTCCTCACCTTCAAAACCCTGGAGGAAGTCTGGAAGTTTTCCACCTATCTGACTTTAGGTAATGTTTCCAAGGTCTGAGCAGACAGTGTGAGAAGGGTTTTTGGAGAAGGCATTGCCTGACACCACAGAACTGCAATGTTCAGGGTGGACAGTGAGAAATGAATTAGAAAACTTTGCAATCTGTTGTTTAGGAAATCTCCGTTTGCATCAGTGAGAATCAGGAGGATTCCTTTGGGGAAATTTTGGAGAAAAAATTAGAAGTTTTTGCCTGACATTTGGAAATCCCCAAGACCCTTCCTGCTGCCCAGAGAAGGAGGTGCTGATCCTGATGCCCCTCTTGGCTTCTCAGGGTACGTGGGGACCTGCCTGGAGCAGCTGCTCTTTGCCCAGGAGTTCTGGCTGGACTGTGCCCTGGTGGAGGACACAGAGGTCAGGGTCACCGTGGATGAGGAGCACCTGGCCACCATCTACATGGATCTGCTCCTCCAGGAAGGTGTGATGGGAATGCACATGGGGGAATTCCTGAAAATCCTGCAGCAGGGCTGGGCTGGAGCCCCTGATGCACTGATCCCACCTCTGACTCTCTCTGCAGGGAACTTTTTCTGCAGGGCAGTGCCTGGTGTCTGCAAATTGGAGCAGGAGGGAGAGGAGGGTCTGCAGCTCTGCAGGAATGAGCTGATCCATGTGAAGAGTGTTGGACAGGATTCCAAATGGGAAGGGATGTCCCTGCTGACAGGGCAGCGAGGCGTGGTGCCCGTGGCTGCTCTGGAGCCAATACCTCACCCCTTTTACCAGTAAGTGGTGAATGAAAGGGCTCAGACCAGGATTCTTTCCTGATCCTGATGCATGACTGGCACCAAGACAGGCTGAGAAACTCCTCTTGTCTTTGGCAAAGGGCAAGAGCCTCACAATTCCATGAGGATATTTCCAGGAGGATCCACGTTAGGCATAAAGACTGGAATCAATGCAGGTGCAGTCAATGGGACACAGCAAGGACATGCTCCTACTTCAGATGTGGTTTTTGTAAGATATTGATTGAGGTCATACATGAGGTTATCTCTGATTAACAGATGAAGAAGTGGCAGAAAAAAGCCAGGCAATGCCAGCCAAAGTGGAACTTAACATTTGTCACCTGGCTGAGCCTTTTATTTGGAGAAATCTTCCTTAAAGATGGCAAATTTATCCTGCTCTTCCCCTGTGGTGTGACACCATCCCTGAGATCAGGAGTGCTCACGAGGACCACTGAGGGTCCCTTTTGCCTTGCAGGTGGTTCCTGAGGAATTATGCTGTGAGCTTTGGCCTCTCCCAGGAGATCAGCGGGACGAGCTCTCGGGCCATTGGTGAGTGACACCTGTGCAAGGCACTGTCCCAGGGCCGGGCACAAAACCTGGGTTTGGCCACAAATGGCCACAAATCCATCTGTTCTTCTGGGCCTGACCCCACTACAGGGGCTCTGAGGGAATGCTGGACTCTCTGGAATGCAGATCAGAAGTTACAAACCACGTTCTGAGGAACACAGAGAGCACAGAGCTGCTGGTGACACCTCCTGCCCCTGGCTTTTCCCTGTCCTACTTCAATTTTATGTTTCTTTTCATTCTTTGAGAGTGAGGTTACAAATCATGAGGTTCCCACCTTGTGCTCACATGAAACCTGTGTTGACCACCCAGCCCTTAACCCCAGACCAGTTCAGAGCAAGCTGGGCACAGGAGGTCCCTGCAGGTGTGACTTTGTCATGTAGGGATGGACATTTGCACTGTCCAGGATTTCACTCCTGGCAGAGTTGACATAGGGCAGTGTCTGTGAAAATCCATATTTCCAGTCACCTTCCAGGCTGCAGCTTGCAGAGGGGTGGAGTTTATCCATCCCTCTCTTATTTTGTATTATAACCCACTTCTCAAGGAGAAAAGGCAGAGAGCTGGGCCAAAGATCACAATAAATCTTAGAGGAGAGAGGAGCAGCCCTCTCCAGCTGGAATCATGGCCTCTCCCTGCCCAGGTCTTTTCCAGGGAGGAGGTTTTAGCAGGGATCCCACTGAAATTCCCTTTTTTGCCTTGGTTTCCCAGTCAGAGGCAGGTGCATCGCCACCAAGGACCACAGAGGAGCAGCGTGGGATGAGCTGAGCTTCTCCAAAGGAGATCCCATAGAAATCATTGGCTTCTTCATCCCTGGGCTGCCCTGGTTTGTGGGCAAATCCCTCAGCACCAGGAGCATTGGCTTCGTTCCCACCCAACATGTACATCCCGAGGCTTGCGAACCTCTGTGAGTTCATTTAAATTAAATTCTGGAGAAAAGGGAGGGGAGGCTCCAAATCCCACCTCAAGGCTGTGTGAGGGCCTAGGGCAGGTTATTCCCCTGGCAGGACCTTCACAGAGTGGGGGTTTGAGGTGTGAGCAGAAGCTTGGCTTCCCTTCCTCTGGCACCTTTCTGTTCCTTCAT